AGAATCTTTCAGAAGCATTTTGTTTTAAATTATTATGAAAAGGTTGTAATCAATATTTCTTGAGCAGTCAACTAAAGATTGACACTAAAAACAGTGTTCAAAACGTCAGTTAAAAAAAAAACTCGAAACTTTTATATAAATGTGTTTTACAATAAAACGAGCACCATTCGTTAAAAACCATGAATAATCTATTATTCATTTTTATTAATATTATTTGTCAAAATTAAAATTATTCCAAAGTATTTAGAGCAGTTATCGTGATGGGGAGTGGTGCAAGCTGCAGATAAGAATTTCGCTACTTTCTATCTTATTTCCTTCACTTTATTTCAACAAGTTTTTAATTGGAAAAACTAAATTATTAAACGCTGGTTATCTAGACATAAGTCGGTATATTCGATACAAAATAAGTAACCTTTGGAATTGTGGTTAGTGAAATGTTAAAAAATTATAATTATTATAAAATTGTTGATTGCAATTACATAGCTTTAGAAATATATACAAAAGTTATATTTTCGTATTAAAAAAATTAACTAAAACATAATATATAGAATCATTTTTATTTGTCATTGTGTTTTTATTTGTATAGCGATAGTGTAGCCATTTCATATATTAATTAGTGATGTGGTCGGTAATTTAAAAAATAAGAGCATCTACCTTTGTAAGTCGAATTAATTAAAACTAAATTTACTATGTACGTTTTACTTATTATCTACACCCACTAGTGACAGATAAAGTTTAAAAAAACTTTTAACTTTTGTACAACGAAATATTTAATTTGAACCTTAAATAGTTTATAAGTTTAGCTTTCATTTTAATTATGTAGTAAAAAAAATAATAAACTGACAATTACTTGAACAGTTTTAATCTTAGATAAAACTTACGTCTAATAAATTGTTATATCTTATTGATATAACATTTAATTAAAATACATCTGAACGAGACTTCGAATTATTTTAACATCAAATGCCATATGAAAATTATTTTAATAATATAGTTTTTTAAACTTCCAAGATAATTGACTGTTTTTATTCCTTTTTTTACGGTTTAATCCTTTTTTTACATAAAAACTAAAACCTATATTTTAATTTTGAACTTTTAAATTAACTAATGTTACTAACCGTAATAACTAAACAGATATGATTAACAGCCATAGCCCATAACCATAACTAAATAGGTTTTTACAACACTTTACATTATAATATTGTTTTAACTATTGGTAGTAATGTTAAACATGGCACGTATAACATGGTCTCTAGAGATGTATTTTTAAGAGCAGATAAAGATAATTTAATTTTTTCTATTCAATTAATTGCAGTATTAATTACAATACAACCTTACATTATCGTGTAACCCATAAATCCTTTGTTTTTAATCTCGTACGTCGACAAACTCAATTTATTCTTTCAGTAGGTATTGCGAAAAGAATTGCTTTTAAGCAACGGTTTTGGTCTTATATTTTGAGTTAATTATTTTTATACTAAAATTGCATTAATATTTTAATGTTGAATTATGTAACTCTTTTTGGAAATCCGGGTTTTATTAAAACCCCATCCCTAAGCTTGCTAAAGGTTAAGATAACGTAGGAATTGTTTTTCAAAAACTACAAGACCGGATTTAATTTAGCATTACTTTGCTTGGCAAGCAAGCCTGCACTATAATTATTCATTATTGGGATTCTTTTATATAATATACATAATTAATGGAAAAGAAATAAGAGTTCCCGGTTCTAAAAAATATTTAAGTACGTTTAAGTACAAATATAAAAATTAAAGAACCAAAGGTCGTTTACACCTCCGTGTACAATAAATGAAAATGCTAGGTTTTCAAAAAAAACCTTTTTGTAATTTAAAATATTTTTCATTCATTGTATTATTATAAGAAAACATCTCGGTAATGGCTGTGTGGTTAATGATTAATAGATGTCGTGAACGTTCGTACAAAGCCCTACTGAGTTATTTTTATTGACAAGAAGAGGTTTACCGACACGGTTGGAGCATTCAACTACTCGAAAATAATGAGCAAAAACGTTTGCAGAAAAAATGTAATTACCAAGCTACAATAATTATAGGCATCGAGACATCATAGTACATAAAATCCGAGTATTTTCTTTCACCCATATCGTTCTCAAGAACTATTTGCCATACAACATCTCTCGGGACAGTCTCTCTTACACATTTTTATAAATATTATAAAGAAAATATTTTTAAAAAAAACTTTTTTTGCGGTGAAGTAGAAAATATTGCCAACTTTACAACGTCACGGTTGTCTTAAGTCTATGGACCCTGGTTGAACTAATAGTTCCCTGAAATACTTACAGAATTACAAAGGATTAAAAAGGAAGCAAAATGTGAAGGAAGTAGATCTTCTCGGATTACAAAGTTTTAACCAAATTAGGCATAGACTTGTTCTGCTTCTTCGCCATGGGTATACACTCCGTCAGCTTTGAAGCGCATATTTGAGGACTTTCTTTTTGAAGTGTTGTCTTCGAAGCTATTCGATGTCAAAGCCTTTTGTCAGACACTAAAAATTGTAATTGTATACTTAACGGATTTTTATCTTTCTTTATCTCCTATCCGATAGGTTCGCATTTTGTGTTTTTGGTTGTTCAAACTTCAAATACCATTTCTCAAAGCTAGTGTAGCTTACAACACTCAAGGTTTCTTATCTTTTTTCCGCTTATTTCTGAGTATTCGTTTCTCTCACATTTCCAATTTGTATTTTCAAAGTTAGTTTTTACCCAAAGTTCTCGTTGAGATTGTATTGAATGAAACCCTCTAGAGAGACAGATTGACGGGTGACCCACACTCGTTAACGCCCATAAAACTAGCTGAACATAAATAAATTAGTTCCTGAGTCGTGCCAGTTTACAATCTAGGTACTAAACTTAAATGTACTGTTCTTCCATCATAATGTTTTCTAAATAATATAATTCATTTGAGCCAATTAACCGATTTCACTCAGTGTGTAAAATTCTTTTGTCATTTTTCATGAAACCCGGATCCGTTTAATGTCGTATTTTGAATGTTTTACCACATAAACCGTGAATAGTAAATTTAAAAATTCGTTGACCAAAGATATTATTTAGATAATTATATTTCGAGTCTAATAACTATTATTGATAAGATATGGTTCATCATATTATATTGAAAACGATGTTAGTTTGAGTAAACGTTTTAGTTTTTAAGATGTAACAAAATCAATAAAAATAATCTGGAATCAAAACAGTTCGGCCAAAAAATTATTTTGCCGTTTCAACGCTTTTGCAAAATATTGACATTACTGTTGGGCTATTAGAACAACTCATGCTTAAGCAATTGTTGTTTTTAGAAATGTTTTTCAATGGAAAGTTCTCATATTCTTCCATTTGAGTTTAATGGATTCTTCTTTACGCTATACAATATGAACTACACAAAATTACGTAGAAAAATATTTCACTAACTTTTGGAAATCAAATTTCTTGATTTCTATGCAATCATTCCCTTTTACTATCTATCTATATACACATTTTGCACCCCACTGTTAAGCCAATCAAAGCGATTATGTTCGTTCGTTGAAAGTTATTGGACTTGAACTGATTTGTTTAAAATACTAAATAAAAAAATCCAATTGTAAAGGATTATTTCATAAAAATATGATCATTATTAATGCTACTTGAGTTATCCCAAATAGGAAACACTGTGATCGACGGTTGTGCGAACAGTCATAAATCTTGTTAAATAATCGTACCGGCATCTTTGTCGTTGATTGTGCTAACCGTTTAAAAGGCTCGAAATCATCTTTATAAGTTATTATATCTTATTGAGTCTTGAAAAAACACTTGTATAAAAAGTCAAGAGCAATTTAAAAATGATATAAAAACCCAAGTTTAAGAGCAAGGCGAAAAAGATAAACTAATAAAATTTCCTTATAATATTTTAATGGAAATTAATTATCTTTTCGAATAATTATTAAATTATGATATGTTGTTAGTAAACTATCGGATTATAGTATTACACATTTCAACGTGTTAAAGCTCCTTCGTTAAACCATTTTCACTCTAATTCTTAATTGAATGTGATTATTACGGCAGTAATGCAGATGTAGAGGGAAGACCTAACGCCCAGTCCGTTCATTTATTTCATTTAAGTTTGTAAGTTGAAGTCCACAGCGTTTATATTATTAAGCTGCCGGCGAACATCATGTATATAATTCATGAATCGTCAAATTAAACTGCGAAACTTATAAACTTTCATAGAAGTTGTAATGTTCGCCAGAACAGTGGAATTTCACAGCTGCTGAATAAAGTCGAATAATCGAATATGCAGCTGCGACAAAGTATAATATGTACAATTTGAGATACATAGTTAACGCAAAAAATATGGCGTTATCCATATAAGATAAGGAATAAAAGGGAAAATTTCAGTTATAAGATAATTTGACCTTTGGTAAAAATATTAGGTCTCGATGTATATGTTTTTTTTTCTAATACTTCTAAATCGTCTTTGAAAAATGTTGATTTATTGAACATAAAATTCAAAAATGTAATTTATATATTGTATTTTTTAACAATCTTAATGCATTTAGTTTATTTTTTTGAATAAATATTAGCATAAAAAAAAAAACCAAAAGATTTTTTTATAAACAATCATGTATTAAAATGAATTTCACGTTTTTTTAGTAAAAACAAATAAATAAATATTACATGCATTATAATTTATTTTAAAAAAAATTAATGTTCGATTATTTTTATGAGTTTCTATGTTATATGTTGTTTATTTTATTTTTGTACACAACACCATACATTAAATGGAAGATATTTTTAAGGCAATTTTAATATCTTTTTACACTTTTTTTTAGAGAATTTTTAAAACAATTTTAGGTCATACAGTTCTAAGCCCCAAATTGATAAATATTTTTGAATCCCATTATAATGTTTAAAATATTATGATTTAAACTACAATGATTATACTGTTATAATCCAATTGAATATACCATGTTCTTTTTATGATATTTTTACGTAGTTGGTGGTTGAAATCAACAGTCAAGTGGCTCAGTTTAGAGAATTGCTCGTGCACATCGGTACGTCCAAGGATTCACCGGAAACGAGAGAAAAGATCCGGAAATTACGAAGAGGATGCGTAGACACGTGTAAACACACCAGTCAATTACTTATACCTCAGCTGAAGGGGTACGTACACCGATCAATATAGTTTAATATATTTCAATAAATATCTGTTTTTAACATTTCGTCAAAATCAATATGATATTACACGATAATGAAATACAAAAAAAATTTAAAAGCCAATGTAGTGCGGTCAGAGCATAGTAGAGATTGTCGAGAGAGGTCTATAGGAATTATTATAACTGAAAGTGATAAAATCCCTTTCAAATAAACGCTTCGGTGCGAATTTGTAGAGAGCAAAAATACAAAAATCGATGAAAACATTTTAAAAGACATAATATGCTTCAAATTATATTTTAAGTGTTAGGGAGGATATGGTACATATAAAGGGTACAAAAAAAAAAACGATTTTGTTTGTCCATAAAAATTTGTTTCTCATACATCGTAACACGTATTTTCAAATATCTATACTATACACTGTTACATAGTACAACTGATGTTTGTTTTGTTCGCCTACGTTTATTGGTTGTACTATGTCTAAAGAATAATCCATATAAATTTGGAACTAACTCGACTACTATTAAAAAGTTATAGCACGCCGTCATTTTTCAGTTCATAATAATACTTTTGGACGAACTCGAATAGCACAAATCAATTAAAAGTCGTATCTATTGAATAGACCAACTATACTAGACTAATAAGGACTTTAAAAAAAAAACAAATGTATTACTTTTATTTTTATAAAGAAAACAAAAATGTTGTATGTGTTTTTATTTAATTGTATAATAATTAGATTAGGGTTTAAAAATTCCATAAAAAGAAAATCAGTGAAATACTTAAAACATTTTATTTTTATCGAAAAAATAAGTTACTTTTAATAGTCGGTCTGTGAAAACGTTTTCAATATTATACATTAACCAAGATATTAATAAGGAAGAATTGCTTGTTTCCTAAATCAACATATTATTATAATAAAACATTTAATATTTCACGATACCGTGGAATATTTCTGACATCATACACCAAAAAAATACATAATTATTTTACTAATACGTACTAATTCGCATCGAAGGTAAAATTTTCAATTATTGATTACAAATTCTCATTAGCATTTGCCTCATTTGTTTACAATTACATCACTTGACCCGTTGTAAATAAATACATACAACTTGAAACTTGTAGGTGCAGTAAGAAGTTGGATTTAAAATGCTTATAGGTGAAACCTATGTGATATCAACACAACGAATCACACTAATATTTCAAAATTTACCTTAAGCCTAAATATGAGACTAATATTACATTTTTTTTTTCATTATTTACACACAATAATAACTACCATAACTCGAAAACCCAACAAATTTGCATTCACACTTTTCTAGTATTTTAAACGGTGTTCACGGTTCATAACATTGTAAGTTTGAGGAATCATTTGATGAGAAATAAGTCGATTATTCAATAAAAACGTGCAATGAAAACGATACGATGTAGCTCGAGTATAAATTACAACAAGAGAAAGAATTACAAGAATTTAGTGTTTTAATAATAATTAATGACGTTTCAGTGATTGTATATTCTGTCGTTTGATTGGTTGGATGTTTTATTGACGTTGGTGATACTTAGGTCGATAGCTTAAAAGGCATCGCTCGTTTTAGTTATGCAAATTTAACCTTAAGCGGAAACAAAATAGGTCGAACAAAATTGGAATAAAGAATGTAATATCGTCGAATAAAGTATTACTCGCAATACAAGAAACAGTGTACTAAAGTAAATATTTTAAACGTAAGAACCACACCAAATTTTAAATAGGTACCAAAATTCAAAGCAATTTTATATATATATATATATATATATTTGTTTTATTAACTAATCAAAAATTCTTAAAAAAAACATTCTTACTTGAAATTTATTGATGAAGTCAAGGTTTTAGTTGTATTATCTACTTTAAATAATTTATACAAATATAAAAATAAATTCACATTAACTATTCTTATTATAATAAAATAACAATTAATTAGTAATTGATATAATAGCCAGGTATTGGCAAGTTCAAAACTAGCACAACTGAAAACTGCAAAAAAAAAAATAATATCAAGACGTATAATTTACTAACTTGAAAATATAACCATACTTTTACTCATTTAGGGATTTGTAAATTTAACTTTCAGTCGAAGCACAAAATATATTTATATTTATCTCAGATATGATTATCTATAACCTAAACATGGCCATGGTGTAAAACTATCTTTATCATATTATATGTCCAAAAATAAAGTTAATTAGTAAAAAAAATGGCCAAAACCAAATAAGTCCATAGACAACGTTATTATTATTACTATTATTAGAATAATAGAATAAGTACAATACAAAATTAACAAATATTGTACATTTTTCCCGTAGCCTAATTAATAATTAATATAATAATAGTTATCTATAAGAGTATTTTTACGTCATCTCTTAGGTAAATTATGAATACACTGTTGAAAATTTAAAAATAAACTTAAATAAATTCACTTTTTTACTGGGCAATCAATAATATTTTTACCGCGGACATTTCGGTAGAATACAAATCAAGTTTTATGGCTTAACGTTAGGCGATTGATTTTTCGTTTTTCATTTTTAATTTGTTGGAGAAATGAAGTGCTAAGTCAAATATTAACAATAAAGTTGAAAACGTTTTGCTATAACTATAACTCATTTTATCAAAAATACCTTTTTTTTTTTAAGACTGAAATTTGTCCACTAATGCTCAAACTCTTCAAGTTCAGTAAATAACCTAATACTTTTGCAATAGTGTTGTTCAGAATTATGCGGTCAACGCTGTTTGCAGTTTACACTATATTTGACCAAACCGTTTTGTTGATTGTAATCTCGCAATCGTAAAGGCAAAAGCCATAAAGTAACATGTAGAAACGATTAAATGTCAGTGATGGGCCCTTACTAATGGCGGGTTTCCGCAAAACGAAATCCATTGGGTAAAACGATTTTCCATCTCTTTGCGCTATCCCGAGTCCTTTTAAAAGATTATTACCATCGAGGTACATTAACACATGTCTTCAAGGTTACGCCGACGAATTAATCGGTCTCGGTTTCGATTTTTTGTTTTTTAAAGCTAGTTATTTTTTTCAACGGACGGACACAGACGAGCTAGTGTCTTAACATTTTTAAATCGGTCAATTTTTGAGTAAACACATTTTTTTTTACGCACTTACATAAAGACACGATTTTAAAAACCAAAATGGATTAAGATTCTTTATTATCAACAGTATCCATTTTTGTTTGTTTTATTATTTTTTAATTACAAAATACACACATTAAATCATTAGTATACAATTTTTATAAAGGAAATGATAATCTAGGACGAAGAAAAAAATTGTATCCATGTGGGAAACTTTTAAGGTTTATGAAATTTTCAAACACTTAGTCTCGAAAACGACAATTTTGGTCTTAATGTGTTTTGCATGAACAGGTCGATATTATGATATCCTATAAAGTTCAAACGTGGGCATAATGCTTTCGACGAAAACACATTTGCATTTGACTTTTTTACCCTTCTTTTCAATGTGCACTCGAGTAATGTGTTTCATTGAGCCACCAATTCAAGATTTTCCTAGAAGCAGAATAAAAATAGTCGGTGTAGACAAATCGATTTAAGCGCACACAGCCATGCAATATGCTACAAGTCAAGTGAACACTACTTTTTATGGTCGTTCAAACGCGATGCATGATTTTGTCACTTTCATAGAAGTTAGTTGACAAATTTGGAATAAACATTATTTTGTATATTATTATGCAAGTGTATAACATTTACAAAATATAGTAAAAGAGTCTATCCACGAATTCATATCGAAATTTGTTCGACATTTTTAACGCTATACTGCCTTTTTTATGGTATATTACTTTTTTTTTTATTAATCGTCATTTCTTTCCTCAACTTTTACAAGTCAACTGCCAAAGCTCTAAGCTGATCTTAATAAATTTACTTTTTTGTGATATAAAACAAACTTTTAAAAAAATGTTGATGGATCTTTTTTATTTTGTTTTTTTACGATTATTGTAATTAATTTTTAACGACAAACGATTGAGACAAATCATAATTATTAACACAAAAGTTAATCAAGATGCACGTTTAATCCGTTTTCCACGTTTTAACAGATTTCCGAAAACCCCTTTGTATCTTTCAAAAATATTTTGGTTGTTTTCAGGAAGTTTTTGATGTTTATTATTATTAGACGTTATCTCGTTCAGTTTATCTGGATGAACGTTCTTGGGTAAATCGGTGGGATTTTCATTAAAACGGTTTTTAAATAATTTGTTGACAAAAAAATTATTATTGTCATTGCTTGTCAATCTTCCTATCGTTGGTGTTCTCTTGTCGGCGAGACTTTTTCCATGTACCGTTGTATCTAAGTCTGTTAATAACAATTAAAAAATTATATTTTGCAATTGTAAATCATTACGTTTACTTTATAATAGTCAACATGAATTTCATAAAATTGTATAATGATTGCGATTTGTATATTATATTTTAGATTATATAAAAAAAATATCATAAAGCGTTTCAAGACAAGTGCTAAAAATATAGTGTTTAATGAAAAGGACATTGGGAAACTGAAAACTAAACAATTTAAAAATCGCTTTACAAGTTCGTTTAACTTCCCTTGTAGTTAATAATAATTTTGATTAGGGGTTGATTTTAAGATATAAGTATTTTGTTATTATTACCATAAACTGAATTACTGTTTTTACAGTTAAAAATAAAAAAATAATTAAGGTAGCAACTAACTTACGTGTAACGGTTCTTATGGGTTGGCTTTTCATGAAATAAATATGTAATATCAAAATAAATAGGTATAAGTTTATCATTTTATCACAGACAGAACGAGCGAACAATTAATAGCGAAATAACTGTACCGTAAATACAAAATAAATATTGTTTAGATGGTCAGTGTTTAAATTTCCAACAAAAAAAAACGCTTTTGTTGCTATGTTTACCTACACGACATATTTATTTTTACATTGTGCCATAATCCTATACAATTAATAATATTATACGGTGATGTGTTTAATTATGGTTTTTGTTTCATTGACAGATCAAATTTAGAAGTGGCTCTTATAGACCATCCAGAGTTGGCTCTTCTATTTTATTTGTGCCAAATGATGTTAAGAGAATTGAGCAAATGTAGTCGTCTAGTGCAACTTATTCCAATGGACATGACTGGATATTTCGGTAAATATATCATTTTATTTTCGTTAATGATAATAATTATTTACATAATTTTGTAACGGAATATTTTATAGAAAATCGAGCTGGCCCGTCAAACATCGGCAACGTTATCAGTCAAATACTTCTATGCAAGCAAATAGCACCAGATTTCAACCAAGAAGAAGTCTGTAGCATAGCTAAGGACAGTCAAGACTTAGCTAAACTCATACAAGACATGCAAGAATTTCTCCCCCAACAAGATACAGCTGCTGGTAAAAAATTATTATGATTCCACATATCGCCATATTTTTGTTTATCACATGTCTCCGTCTCTACTTTGGTTTACCACCACCTCAAACAACACTTCATAGTTTACTTCTATCATGTTCTTAATATCTCAATCACACCAAGGTGACTCACCCTGTATGTATCTTGTAAATTGACTAAAGGAAACAAGTAAAATATATTAATAATGTTACAATAAATAACAACTGGATATTGACTTGTAGTCAATATAATATGAATTATAGAAGTTTTTAATTTAAATAGTCCACGGTCGTTTCTCTGACGCAAGTTCTTGTTTAAAAAATGTATATTGTATCCCACTGTTATATTTCTTCTGTATTACTCCCGAAATGGAAAGACGTAAGGTTATGAAATATGATTTCTAATATAGACAAACGCCACATGTTTAATTTATAGAACTCCTTTTGTTTTTATACGGTAACCGTTCAGAAATATTTTTGAAGTCCGTGTATACGTGCGTGAAGTACAAAATATCGACAAATGATTGGATATTTTATTTCCCGTTTTCGGGATCTACTAGGTACCTGTTAAAAATATAATATTTTAAACTGCATACAACTATTAACACAAACTAACAGGATCAAGTTGTTATTACTGTATATGAATAGTTTATCAATGTTACATATAGTGGCTTTTAAGAAAATTTATGTAAGTATTGAGGAAACCACAAGTGGAGAGAAGCTTGTTTTATGCGACAATAAGCGGATAACAAACAGCGACTAAAAGTTAATGTCTATATAAGACTGCCGCGAGACCTACAATATTGCAGGAGTTTGAACTTTATAGACATGAACTTGAACAAAATAATGTGTTGCATAAAACTAAAATGTTATGTATTCTATTTACTTATAGTAGTTCGACAATAATCCGTTACAACTGTACATTTATTTGGTCCTTCGATCGGATAAATTAAATTGCGATTTCCGCACTAGTAAATTATTCAACGATGTCGACGTCCAAGATGAATTCCTCAGTTTCAAGCTCAGACCGAATTCCGTTTATTGCGCGACCACACACTTGAATGTATTTCCGTGTTCAATCTATCGTAACAAGAGCGAAATCGGTTAATACTGTACACAAGCCATATAATGTCTACACAAGCAAAACACAAACACTATATAGACACCATTGTTGCTGAACTTAGTGAGAAATTTCTCTCGCAAATCTTCGATCGATCCGAACTCCGAATCAACCGAGTTTGACGTTCCAAACCCAATACAGACTCCAAGACCTATTTTAATCATTACATTTTTCTCTGTAAACTTTGATCGGTTAACCATAAAATATCGAACTCTCTCTCTTAATGTTATTTCGTTTGTCTTCGATAATTTTAGTAATAAAACTTCCAATATGAAATTGCTCGATTTCATTCGTGAAAATTCCAACAAAAAAATAGTATTGAATGTCTCCAGTATTCGCTGTAGTTTCGTGATTTGACCAGGCTATATCGTCGTATGTCCATAAAACGTTTGACAGACAAATTACTTTATTGCACGAAACGCGCGTTGTCATGACACTGTGACAGTGTCAAAGGCTTCTATCGTAACGTCGCAGCTACTCACTTTTTTTTGCATTTAAGACCATGCATACATTGGCGTTGGTCTGTCGAAATCATAACCCAGCTTCATTGATTTTATATTGTTTGACCACTCTTTTTGGCCTCACGACATTATGAAATCTTAAAAAATTATTGCAGAAACGTGAAATTTAATAAAATAAAAAAATTAATCAATTTTTTTTTAGAAAAAAATGCAGCTCTAGAACCCGAAAACAGCAAGTGGAAAAGAAAAGGAAGACGGAACTCGATCTACACCAACGTCAGTTCTTGCTGCTGTTTTTGTAAACCAACTTACATTTGATGTCCTACGTTGGTTTCTTAAAAAGATAATATACGTATAACTATAATTATATTCCCAAGTGCTCAAAATCAAAGTTCGTTTACACGAAATTACCTTACCCTGCTTGCACAAATTGCCATTGATATTAGTTATATTATTATCTACTAAATTATTATTCTTAAAAACAAATAAACAGTTTCATTTTTTTAATATCGTAGTATTTTCCAATGAAAAGTAATATTTAAACCATTTATTTATAATTTAAATAAGCCATAGAGTTTGTCCATATGGTAATAATATTCATAATCAACTCATTTCATAGAGCGATTATTTAAAAATAAAATAAACAAAAAAGTGATCAGTTAGTAGACAATAATTAAAAGTCATATAAATTTAAAACGATATTGTCATTATAAATTTTAGAACACCAAGACTGTTAAAACTATGAATTTTAATATTTTTATTAGGTAATTCTTATAAATAGTGCCTACGTCACGTCAATATTGTGTTAATGAATGAGAACACAGTATACAATATAAAACCAATATTAATATAAACAAACTGTAAAAATGTACACCTATAGGATTTTCCACTTTTATTTTTACTTCCAATTATTAATAGTTCCATTTTAATTCTATTTCAAAAATCAGTGGACAAATATTTATCTAATAATATGTTGTATTTTGTAAGAAAATGCATAAAATTAATGAAATTTTACTGAGACTAGAATTTAGGATTCCCATGAATTATAATAAATTATAATGTAAACAAATTATAATTATAACGTATTTTATTGTATTTGTCTTCATTTCTTAAGTGAAAATAATATTAAAATCTATAATAACTTCGGAAAAAGGAACATTCGCATTATAATTTTCCCTTTATCGTCTTCATTCAAATAACTATATCAGTTAAGCTCAAAAGAATTATCTAAGCTTTTTTTTACGTATAAATGAATTACTCTTAACGGTTTGTACATTGTACGAAAATGGTCACAAAACATTTGTTTTGAAGAACACACTTCTTTAAAACTGTTGTTATTTAATTTTTAATGGATTAACTACAGTAATTATTGTAGAACTAATATTTAATGTGCGTTTGTAAAATTTAATTTGTAGTTAGCTTTTAGCGTTAATTTGAATACAGTTAGTAATTATATTATATTTTAATTGTAATTAAGATGATAATATTATAAAAAGTGTAATATCAAAAATACGTTCGCTCAGAACATTTGTACTTAAGTTTACTCAACAGTAATTTGTTCATGTAAAACAAAGTAATTTAGGATTTTAAATTTTCAAAAAAATGTCTTACCCAAGTGGTAAAAAAAAAAAAAAGATTTTATTAAAATGACTTTATATAAAATAATTAATAAACTTAGACTATAAGTTTATGATATAGACACTATAATATCACCTATAGTCGTTCTGATGTTTAATTAAACAATACATATTTTAGATTAAACTAAGTACAGCACTAAAAATAATTTTTTTTTATGTTTTGTGAAAATCCGTAAGTTTTAGTTTGAATTCTGCTGTACTAAAATATTATGTGAAATACAGTAATCGCGGCATTTTGTTGTTAAAATCAATTGTACATACACTTGAGATTTAAATGAGATTATAAATCTTGGAATTTGGACGTGGTTCTTGTAATCTTACTACGGATTTGTAACGTTGTTCTAATAGAAATTGCATTGTTGCCTAATTGCAGGAAAATGGACGTATACACTTTGTATATAGTTTGGTTTTAATTAACACAATTTTTTTCCACAGCGTACTAATAACTACTATTATTCTTTCTGTATTCATTGCTCTAAAATATTCCATTAGAATAATAAAATGATTTTAATAAATAATTTCATTCCATACGGTGTATACAAAGGTCAACGCTTTTATTTGTTTAATTATAATAGCTTACCAAGAACCTACAACCTTTTTTTCATCATGACTTTGTCTTGTATATTTTGTATATATATATACGTATTCATATTATATTATTATTATTGATCAAAAACAATATACAATATATTATTTTTGATCAATAATAATAACGGTTACAATTTCCCTAAAACGACCTAAAGCACCAACTATCTCCGAATTATTTATTAACAATACTTTATTGTTAACTTAATAATTTGTAGTAAAGTAATTATATTTTATTGATTATATCCAGTAGATATTATAGTAGTATGTTTTACGTATAATAACTAAACTAAGAGATTATAATATAGTTATTAGTTTTCCAATTATAATAATGGTAGTTTAAAAAACATTCATAGAATATATTCATATTGCGCTAAGTAATAATATAAGTATATTATTATTTTATTTTGAAATTACATTATAGAATTGTTCTATAGTGGTTGAATAGTTTTAAAGCTTTTAAAATATTTTTAAAAAATGTCTAAATTATAGTACATTATTTTTTTAAACTTCACTATTATTTGTATTAATTTTTTAATAACAATTTTTTTTCATCTATTACACAGTACACTACTAGTCATCAACTACATTATTCAATAACTTTAATATTGTACGAGTGTACAGCTGATGTGGTATCTATACTAATCGATATAAAGGAAATAAACATTTACAATTACATTATAATATACTGTAACAAAAATAACGAAATTATAAAATAGAAAATTTGTAAAACTCATTTTAATTAAAAGTAATATTATCATATTGATAAACGTCTACCTAATAATGGTAAAACTATAATATTATATCAATATCATATTATTTGTATATTAATAGAACCTAATAAGTATTTTTTTTAATAAGTTTTTTAAAAGTATTATAGCATATTATGCAGTTTTAATCGAAATTAGATTAATTAACTATAATTAATATTCTTCCATTTTTGTTGTTTATTTAGTTTTTAGATGACAACATGATATATTTTGTTAAAATGTATTATTACCCATGTATATAAATATATAACTGATAATGAGTTAATGTATAGGTATTAATATACAATTATGAAAATATATATACTTAATTTGGCTTCAAGCTATAAGCAAACAAACCACAGTTTTCTTTATTAAACAGATACAATTTGTAAAAGATACTTAATATAAAAGCTCATAACATATTTAAAAAACAAAAGTAGAGTTAATTACTTTTATGACATTAATTAGACGTACCTACTACTTTTATTTTAATAACAGGCTATCTTAGAATTCAATGGTTGTCATAACATGTACCGGTAAAACCGGGTTACTTGTTAAGTTGATATTTAACATAAAAAGTTGAAGTTATTTAAACTATGGAAAACGTCCTTCTACTTAACTTCCTTTAACCCCTCACGATCCTAAGTCCTAACTAATCAGAGGTCAAATGAAATACTAAAAACAGCTTTTGAATTCAGCTACCACCTAAACGTGAGGAAAGTAACGGTGCAATTTATGATAATCGTACAATAATGATAGCTGTTTTTTTCAGGCCATAAATTAACATACCATAAGTTGATATATTATAATATAGCATAAGTTTTTTTAAGTCCTTGAATACAAATTTGGCATAATTTGTACCATATACATTTTTTTTTGGTAGGGTTATAAGTTGTTATGTTTAAATTTTTTGAATTTGTTTATATTACATTATTGAATTATATATTTATGTTTTTTATGTTCCTCGAATTTTTATTAGTTAATAATTATAACATTTTATAATATCGCTGATGAGCTGGAGGAGCATATAAAATATTAATTATTCTGGTTTTTATTATATTTTATTTTTTTACGCATAGAAAATCAGTATAGAATATGTCGAGCGTTTCAAAGTAGCCGTAAGATAATAACAGAATTTTTACTGATAACAGCTATTATCATTTATACGATTTCAGACAATATTGTCAACAACAACATCACATTAAGAATTAAAAAAACCAGTTATTGTTGACATACATTTATGAATAATTTATTAGAAAAGAGAATGTATTAGATTTCCATAAAAGTAGTCATGATTTTATAGCTAATATTATGTCAGCAGTGATAAGTGTCATATAATAATGTGCGTGTGCACTGTGCTATAGTTTCCTGTTAGATGTTGACTAAAATTATAAAGTAAAAATTTACAAATTTAATCAAGCGTAGTTTTAAAAATACTCACATAATATTTACATCACCCAAGATGTCCACGTTAATAGTGAGCTATTGTGATAATTTACAAACAATTGCTTTTAACCGTCCACAAAAAAGAAATGCGATAAACTATCAGGTAAACATAATATACCTAGATTGCTTTAGTTTAATACATAGTTATTGTACAAATGCACCTTTTTCAGTGCTACAACGATGTAGTGAAAGCTTTAGAAGAAGGTGGACAAAATGAATCGGTATCAGTTACGTTGTTGACTGGCATTGGTGAATTTTACAGTAGCGGTACAGATTTAATGGACGATTCGAATACAGATGTCAATCAGCGTTTGGCAGCAACATAGTACTTAAACTGTCCATCACTTATATAATGGTTGGCTTTTATTATAATATGTCGATTATAATTCAATTTCCAGCAATTTCGTCAAAGCTTTTATAGACTATCCAAAGTTACTTGTAGCACTGGTGAACGGCCCAGCTATCGGAATCGCTTGCACAACATTAGGTCTTTGCGACCTCGTCTATGCTCAAGAGAAAGTGCGTAAATCCATCGTTATTTATTGTGTAGTGTAATGAAAAATAACTATCTCCATTTTTAGGCAACTTTCTCATGTCCTTTTCACAAACTAGGTCTTACTGCCGAAGGCTGCTCGACAATCACTTTTCCGTTAATTATGGGAAAACTTAGAGTGAGTGTGTTATACTAACCAATAATAGTCTCTGTTGATTGAGAAAAATATTGTGTTTTAACTAATATGTTGTTATATTATGTGCTTTTAGGCCACGGAGTTTTTGCTTTCAGGTAAAACGATTACAGCTCGTGAAGCATTCCAAATGGGTTTTGTCAATGAAATAGTCGACAACGGCACTGTCGGCCATAATAATTTAATTAAAAAAATTACGACTCAAATAGCCAAAAACAAAATGGTAGGTAATTTCTTCTTCGTCTCAAAAAAAAATAAAAGAAGGCAAATTTATATTAATTCATTTGTAGGTATTCGGTACAAATCGTATTTACGGCCCTAGCATATATTATATATATATATATATTTTTTTTAAGTATATTTGACATTATTCATTTATAATACGGTCTTTAAACATTTTGGTCACGCTAAGTTTATGAGTTGTAGTGAAAAAATTTTATTTTTATTTTTAAAACCGTCAAAAATTAAAACAATTTTTAAAAAATTATTTGAAATTTGTTTTCATTAAGACTTTTTTTATACTGAAGACGGTAAAAACTTTTTCTATTTATTCTATTACTTCAGATTTTCTAGTTTTTTTTTTTAAATAAATCGTTAAATATGTCATTTAGGTAAATTCTAGCTACATAATTTAGCTATTCAACTAATAGTTCTGGTTCGACGGTATTAAAATTAGTATTATGATAAAGACAAACAGAAAAATCTAACAAAAAACCACTAATTATTTTCATAAAAAATCCTGGTACAAAAAAATATTATCAACACTGTTTTTTTATATAACTTGTTCAGTTTCAAGTGGATTACACTAATATTTTATCTGGACACTTGTATTTGGTTTAACAATAAAACACTAAATTATAATATTATATGTGTTATATAATAATAATATTTAATTATTATTAAATATTGATTTTGTTTAAATGATTATCTACATCTTTTTTTTCAGCCTTTGTTTTATACAAAATCCATGATGCTTCAAGGTCCATTTGGCAAAAAAGAATTGCACGAAAGTAATAGGAGAGAGTGCGAAAGATTACAGGAAAGATTAAATTCAAACGATTTCTATAATTGTTTGATTGACTTTCTCAACAAAAAAACCTTAAAAAATAAGTTTTAGTAGTTACCTTCAAAACTGTTACATTACGCATCACAATTCATTACATTACATCACATTAAGTATTCAAAGTATATTTATAAAAAAAAACATTTGAATATTTTTATGGTATCTATTCTTGTCAAAAAAATGTATAATATATATATATATATATTATTAAATAATAAACTATATTTTACAAAACAAAAAATACATATATATAAACAACCGAAAGTAAACATTTTGGTACAAATCTTAAGAAAGTAAAATTCTTGGGAAAGAGATAAAGAATTAGCTTCTGCAAGTAATCATGTTTTTTCTAAATTACTTTTCTAACTAGTATTGTTTTACAATCTTCAAATCGGATATTAAAAAAAAAAATAAACATCACCAACAAATAACACATTAGGAGTCATACAATTTTTGTTTCCTTGCCAATTCTATAAAAATCACTTAATCACTTTTGATTATATTGCTACTTAAATAATTATGTCCCATAATAATTTGAAATGTTGTTACAAAAAAGTTAACATTTTTAGCTTTTTCTTATTAGTTTTGTTATTTATTTTTTTTTTTTTTGCTGGGTAATTAATAAAGTGATGAGATACACTAAGACGGTGTAGTAAACTCGAAATTAATTTGTGTACAATTTCACATATGAGAGTGAAATTAAAACTGTATTTTTATACTAGTCTAATGCTTCCATCATTAAGAATTGTAAAACAAATTTAAAATTGCAGATAGAAAACAATTTTTTTCACCAAAAATAATTACTTGTACGTAACTTCAAATAGATACCTATCTAATAATAATGTATTGTTTCATACTTTGCCTTTTTCGTTTAAGCATTTGACCAATTACCTAGGAATAATAGCCCTGTATTTAAAAAAGACTAGGAAATATAAAAAAGCTAAAAAGTGATCAAATAACTCAAATAAACGCTTCGTTGTGAATCTCTGGATTAGCAGATATTAGCAGCTGAAATGTATGGTAATATATTCTATATACTACTTACTATGTGGTACCTTATGTACCTAACTCGTTGAGTTCAATAATTTATCTGTGATTAGCATGGTGGAACTCAGTTCAAAGACGGCATAGACATGTATAATTCTGCTTCAAAATGGGATATTTTTCAAACATAATTTTATTTTTCAATAATTTTATATATATATATATATATTTCTTTACCTGTAGTCCTTGAAATCTAATTTTAAATAATAACTAGTTTTCTAAAAAATAAAAATAAATTTACCGAAACTTGTTAAAAAAAACAAGTGTTCATTAATCTCGTTTTGCCATATTTTAATAGATTTGGTTAGTGATAAAAAAAACTCCTACAAATATGAAAATAGGCCACCTAATTGACAAGCGTGACGTTGTGCGGCACGGAATATTATTTACAAGGAAAAGAAGATGTTACACTTTACAGGAATTAAAAGAATTAATTTTTATATAATTGGGCATGTTACAACGTGAATATAGAGATTATAAATATAATATATAAAAGCTAAAAGTAATTGATTACAAGCTCTTTGTATTTTTTTACACAACTAATGAATTTCATAAATTTAGAATTTTTAAAATCCAAAAATATTTATAATCATTAATCTACAGAAAAATTAATTTTATGATGGCGTGTGGAAATACATAAAAGACCGAACTTTTCCTTCAACCTATGCTAAAAATAGTGAAAGTAGATTTATACCGAGACTAGTACTGTTGTTGACTAGTTTAATCATTCAGTACAATTTTTTTTGTGTATCATAATTTTCAAAAATAAGTCAACTAGTCTTTGGCAACTCTGGAAAATACTAAAGCAGTTGACGCTAAAAAAAATTTCTCTATTGTAAAATATCATACACAAAAATGTTTTCAAGGCGGTTCAATAAAAAAACTTGCAATTTTTTTCCTAACGAAACTTCTGCCATCGATCACCTTGCATAGGTCACCTATTATTTGAAAGCTATAATAATTCAATGTCTTAGGTAATCAATTTGGTAAAGGGTAATAATTAATACTATGTGCAAGTTAATATTTATTCGACCTTGTTAGACGAAAAAATAATTGAAACAAAGAAAAATAGCCTGAATAACGATTTAGATATTCATAACGTTTAACAGCACTTTTACTAGTACATTATTTTGTTAATTTAATTTAATTTTTTTTTTATGCAGCAGTTTTAAATTTTCCTTTAAATGCAATATTGTTATTATAAAAATTAGTGGCATTTCCCTCGAAGCGAGCCTATTTAGATTTAATATTAGTTTGTCTTAGCTTTATTATTATTTTTGAGAAAATATATTTATATTCGAATGATGTCAGGGTAAAACAAATAAACGTTTAACTATTTCGCAATAATAAGCATTTATTTTTTTTAAATAGTTTAAACCTAAGTCATAATATTCTTAAATTTTAACTGTGTTATATATTTTTTAAGTTAAAATTGAATAAAATAATGTTTGCTTTCAAAAAAATATCGATTGTAGGTTAACGTAACATACAATAATTTTTGGGTTTAGATTACAAAGCTAATTTTTCTTGATTGTTGTCATTGGCGTCATATTTTACGCCTGATGAGGTTTGTCGTTATGCTTTTCATTATATTTATCGGGTTGAGATGGAACTGGTGGGGGTGGTTGGGTTAGATACTGTGGGTCTTTTCCGTCAAATATCCAATCACTCCATTCCTCAAAACCGGCACCAGTCTATAATAAATGTTATGTATTTTTTAAAAAAAACTATAGTTTTATGTACAGCTTATTATATCTGTTATTAGATGATAAAGATAAATTGTTTCGACATACTTGATAAAGTGTTTCTAAATTTACTTCGTTAATATTCCGCTAATAAAATAAAGTAAATTAGTTTTCTCATGCAAAAGTTTTTTTAACGGCAGTATGCATAATGCAATAATGTATGTCATTGACTTTTTATAACCGGGGAGCTTTCATTGTCCATCATTATATACTGAGGGTACGGACTATAAAGGAACGGATACATTCAAGTATTAATTCCAAAACGACAGTTTGAACCTACCATAAATAAAGCTTTTCAATATTTATTAAAAAAAGAGCTTTAGGACTGCTGAATTACAAAAGCGATTCTTACTTGTTGTGGTGGTAGTGTTATGTCTTGTACCTTTGACGGTTCTTCACCAGATTTTATAGTTTCAATCAATGTCTATGAAATAAATGTAGAGGTAATTTGACTAATATAATAAGTAAGAGATTTATAAATTATACTTGACAGATAATATAAATAATACTACAAGGCATTTTTTAATGTTCTAAGGAAACATCATTTTAGTCACCAAAGTACACGTTTCTGTTTAGATACTCAAAGTTACCTCTCTTTTTTTCCTTAATATCACCACATGGGCTTTAAAAAAAATGCTTATCTTGTGGCTAAGTTAAATGCATATAATAACGCATTAGTAAGGCTGATGGTTTTATAATGATGAGTTTAATTATTTTTATGTTTGTGTTTCGTCGATAGTATCGCTTTAATAAATTCCGGAACTAATGCTTACATGTTTTAAAAGCTTCGATCATCTATTTGTTCCCGGATTTTTAAAGTCCTCGTTGATGTAATTAACCATTATTAATGTTTAGTGTTTCACTTAAACGATTAATATATATATATATATATATTTTTTTTTTTTTAATGTATATATTTAATTTTATTTAAAATGCACTTTTATAGTATTTGTTCCGGAACGAAATTTTTAAAAACATTTGTTCGTAACAAATAAAAGAAAACAATTTTTTTAGTTCCGGAACAAATAGAGGAACGGGTACATTTAAGCATAATTCAAAACTATATTTGGTCCTACGATAAAGTATGTAGTTTTTCAATATATTGTAAAAAAAAACTTCAGAAGTCAGAACCACTGAAATACAAAAACAGATCTTACTGGTTGTGGTGCTAATGTTTTGTCTTCTATTTTTGAAGGTTCATCGCCAGCTTTTATAGTTCCAATCAATGTCTGTAAAATAAATGTAGATATAATTTGATTAATATAATAATTAAAAGACTTTATAACATAATTTATTATTATAAAAATCATTTATTATACTTAACAGATAATATAAATAATACTACAAGGCATTTTTTAATTTTTTGAGGAATCATCATGTAAATTGTAGTTTTTAAATTTTAAATGACCAATAAATGATTGTGCTTGCGAGATTGTAACTGACGAGTGAATAATATAGTTAAGCTGTATAAATATTAATTGTACATAAGTAAAAAAACAATTAAGAATTAAAATACGTTTTTATATTAGTCATATGTCATAGAATGTTTATGTAGTTCAAAATTAAAATTAATTTTTTTCCATAATTAATTTTGTTTGTTCAAGTGTAGCTACAACGTAGTTTTATATTAAACGTCTATATGATTTTGAACATCTATACTATATAAGATTATATTATTGTACTAAAAACAAAGCTTAGCGCCCATAATTGTACATACAAGTTCTGGGTTTTCAATTCTTATTACTTCGAATTGGACTAAAAAATTACATAATACTATCAGTTGAATCCTATGACCTTCATGTCTATCAAAGGGTAAAGTTAATACATATTTGAAGAACAATTTTTGATTTGATCTCACTATATTCCGCCAAATAAAAGCGTTGTAAATTTTAAACTCGAAACATACTGTGAAAAATGTGTTAATAGACTATGGACCAAAATTTATAGTATATTCAAATATTAAGAAATTCATTTATTTATGAATTTAATTACAACAAAATAATTGTAAGGCATTTTCAGTTTTAGTAATGTGAAAAAGAAAAGAAATGGGAATACATCATAGTGTATAATTTGTATGGTATAATGTCCTTCTGTAGTTGAAGATGGTCTTCCAAAAGCCGCGGCTTACATAAATCTGTCGTTTCGGTAAACACAATCCTCTCGATAACTGTTTTTTATTTAAAAAATCACATAAAACAAAAGAAATTCCTTAAGATATTACTGAATTTTGTCAGGAGGAAAATTGTTTGAGTTTACGACAAATTGAAACTAACGCTTACTGTTTTATTCATCGCTTAGGCGATTGTTTCTTTTATATAAATTATAAAATGAATTATCATCAAATTATATCCCATGTAAATTGTAATAATATCCTGGGTAAGGGAAACGTTATATTTCAACAAGATGGCTTTGTGTACACTTGTTAAATGAGATTGAGTTAACATTTAACAGGTAATAGAAAAATATTTGTATTACATTGTTGATTACTATACAATATTGTTAACAAAGGCAACTCATTTCTTAGACTTTCGTAGACACACAATCAACCCTAGTTACTGTTTATACCACATTATTGAAAATACAACTTAAAGTACATTATTGCCGTAACAATTAATTGATCGATTATTAATATTTTAAATATGCATTGAAGCATTTACTTAAAAATGATATCATCACCCTCATATTATAATATTCCCCAACTTTACTGTGCTGCCTTTTATTTTATTATTTTTTATAAGAAATCAATAGTCGGTTTATAAATAATATGTCTTTAAGCAACATAATATATTATATGCATATTATTAAATTGTAAACAAATACCTTCTGGCGTCTAAATGTTACATTATAACATACACGTGCCGAGCTTTGAGAATTACAATGAAATATATCGCCTGTAATGCGTGTAAATAAAAATAATACTACACTCCGCCTTTCCTTCCCCTAATATTCTGAACTTAAATAACTTAAAAAGTAATTATCCAAAACTGGATATTGACTAGTCAAAATGTTCAGCAAATTATTGTCAGTTTAAAAAGTTGAAATAATATGTACGTTACCATTTAAAAATCCGAAGTTTATAGAGTTTATCACTTAAGGATTAAGGGTTATTTTATTTTTAAAAAATAAATTACAATTGGGCGAACTAATAACTGTGAAAGTATAAAAAAAGAATAGTTAAAAATAGCCTAATATATTTTAAGATATTCGTTGGTTTAATAGTTAGTGAATCACTCTGTTCTCATAAGATCTATCAATATACGTTAACAAACCAAAGAAACACCAAAACTTTTTTCCTAAGCCTTCTAAGGGATGGAAACTTTTTCTCTATTCTACTACCCTTCACTCTATTATACACTACTCTTTTCGTGAGAAGTTTTGTGACTTATAGTCGGGAAATTAGATTTAGATAGTAGTGTTATTAGTAAAATGATTAGAGTAAAAAGTTGATTCCTTGAACACCCATATATGAATAGTAATTGACACATAGGTTATTGATGTAGTTGGTTCGTAAATTATTATACCTAGCAATACATAGAGTCGTATAGATAAACACTATTTGGTATCTACATTTTTCATTATAATAATATACAGCCGAGTTTTGAGATCCTTTTGTTAAATAATGAAAACATTGTCGATTTTTTTTTTTGTTTACAACCGCTGTAAATATTGAAAATATCCCCCAATGAACTATTCGAATCCAGACAATTATATATTACATATTAATATTATTACAGTCTTTTTTCTTAATTTCTAGTTTGATTTAATATATTTTCGTGGAAAATCGTAAAACATGTCAACATTATTGAAGATCAATAATTATAGTATATTTTTAAAAATATGTTTTCAACCTTTTTATATTAAGGAAAACAAAAAAAAGAAGAGAAAACGAAAACAAATTATTATCGTCGACGATCAACCCTATCGTGTATACGCCATTATTAAAAATACATTTTTAAGGACTTTATTGTCTTTAAAATGATTCTTTTTGATATTTAATGTTTGTACTATCTATAGATTCGTATCGAGTAAATTCATTCATAATTGCTTTGACACAACTTTGCTTACTTCTTACTGTAATACCACCTTTACATTCAGCCCAATTCCGTGGCAGTGAACATGAAAGTTATGAGTGCATAAAGTACAACAATGAATTAAACCCTTCAGTGCCCATTGTAGCAAAAATGCCACATGTTTATTACATAATTTTATTTTATTAGAAAAAAGAACATTTAATTTGGGTGTCCCCCTATAGTTAGAAAAACTGTATACTATGTAAATTAACAAATTGGGCATTGAAGGGATAATAGTAAAATATGTGTAGAATAACGGGTGTAAAGTGTATGAAATAATAAATAGTAATACAATATTGGAATATGTTATAGAAATAATATATCTTTATTATGTAAATTTTAAAAAATTAATATGCACACCAATCAATCATATTTCGTTATCATCAAAGAAAGTTAAGCGACTCGTATGTTCCAATAATTTGTATCATAATTTTTTAATTTGTCCGCCATATAAAATTCATATATTGTTATTGAGTCTTCCCTGCGATAATTTCTATTTGTCTTGGCTTTTTTTGCAAATTCACCGTACTGCTTGTGCCTGAAAAAAATGTAAGATATCATCATATACTCTATCCCATATTAGAGTGACTGTGCGCAGAAACCAAAACGCGTCATTCCTGATTGCACATGCGCAAACCAGAGTTAATGGTTTGGGATTCTGGGCATTATCTCTCTTAAATAGGATAGAGTAAAGATATTTTATTTTGAATATTATCAAAATCTATTTGACCTATGCAATAATATTCATATGCAATGGCGAAGCTAGATAATGACGATTATTTGAATAGGGGGGTGTAAAACAAGAGAATTAAAAAAAAAAACGATTATTAGGCAAGTTTGACTTGAACAATTGCGACACTGATCATTTATTTTCTTACTGTGATTTAATTATTTAGTAATAAATCTGTTTTTATAAAGCAATATTAATTTAGCTTACCAAAATTTTCTGTTGTCATTTTATATGCCTACAATAATTAAAAAATATATGTAGGTACTTACGTCGTTGGAATAGTTCCTACTTGCTCGCCCACTAAAATTAACGAGAAAATATATACGGACAATTAAGTTTTTAATTTACATTGTATCCAAACGATATAAAACTGAATATTAATTTAGATGAATTAATGTATTAATGATAACAATTGTGAACCATTGTTGTCCAATGGTTATTAAATTATTATTATTATTATTATTATTATGTTATTATATTATTAATAATATTATGGAACCTGATGAAACAAACGTTGACTGTTATATAGTTTAGTCCTAAAGTTTTGGTACAGCAAATAAACTGAAATAAAATCTGGGGTAAATAAAAATTACCCCAAATCTGGGGTAATAAAGGCTATAAAGAATTACGTCAACTAAAAAATAAATATTATTTTTTAAGACTAGCATCACACTATGCAACCGAACTGCAACTCTATAGTTAACCATGTAAGAATTATACATTTATTGGTCGCCGACAAAACGCATAGTGCGTCGTGTGATCCTAGCCTAAGTGTAATATCAGAAAATCTGCGTAATTTAATTCTGATAAGATTAGTATTAAAACATGAAAATTTGTATTTTATGATTAAGACTATTTTTGTCATCATAGCATACAGAGCATTTCACAAATTTTTGGGAGACTATAATTAATTTTGGGGTAATTTACACCCAAAATACTTCAAAAGTCTATGATGCTTTAGGAAAAAATAAAGCTAAACAAAAAAATATTTCATATCCCCCTCCTCAAGAAAATCCTATATACGCCTCTGGCTTTCTGCATAACGCCAACGCAAATCGAACTATGAAATGTTCTTTTTTTTTGAAAAATATTTAACATATCACTTAATTGATAATTATTTTTTGGTGGGAAAAAAGTTGTTTATCATTTTGAAACATCTGGTATTAGGTTTTGGTAACAAGTTACCAAATTATGTGCTTATCTAAATTTTTAAAATGTTTGTTATAATAGAGAAGTTATTTGTGTGAATTATGTTTTAACAACCCTCCCCCTCCCCTCGAGCAAGATTGAATGTACGCCAATGATTATATACATTAGAGATTACTTACAAGCGCAAAGCACCTGTCCGCCCTACGAACTATCAAAGAAAGTCTTAACTAGGTATCTAACAAGTGTTGAGTGACAGGACAGCAGCTGAATGCTGAGTGCTGACTATAAACATAATCCGGTTTTATTGTTTGTACTATGTTTATTTTTATTGTATGTTTTATAAAGGTAACAAAAAAACGCGGGAATTTCATGAAGGGCCCTGATAGCATTATCACTATTTTATTATTCAACGTTCAATTTGTATTAACTGCCTTGCCTTTATGATTATGAAAGACTTTTAGCAATCTTATTATTTCATCAATATTTTAAATATTATTATTATTATTTTGTTAGGTACTACTTAGTTCATGAAAGCAAATTACAAGTACTACAAAACTAGAAATTTCTATTTCTTTTTTTCGAGGTAAGTGAATCATTAGTTATTACTTATTATGTATGTATATATATATATATATATATATGTGATGGGAATTCGAAAAACCGAAAGCAATAAATGTATCATCAAAGTTAAACGTTAAAAAAAAATATTAAAAATACTTATTATATTAGTGGCGGGATATTAATAATACAGGTTTTCATAAAAAAAAACTGTATTTTTAGCCATGTAAGTAAAATGTTTAAAATCATATTTTTTTCTATATTATATATGTTGTATTAAATAAAAATTTCACAAATTTATATAAAAACTAATGTTTGACACAGATATTATATTATATTAACATTTAAGAGGACGTTATACCCTTTAAAAATAATCGTAAAAAGGGGTTTACTGTAAAGCGTGCAGGTCAAAGCGAATTGGTCATAGAATAAAAATGTTGGTACCGTTAAAAAGAGGAGAACTTTAACTAGGTTCTCTCATCCGTTTTTATGGAAAACTTTAATTTTACCTTAAATACAAGCACTTAAAATAGTTAAACAAATGTCAGAATTAAAATATAAATTGTGAATGTTGAGTTAATAATATAGAAAAAAGCCAACGAGAGAACCTAGATAAAGTTCTTATTATTTTTAATATGTAAAAAAAAATTGTCTACGATTGTTATTTAGTTGATAAAAAAGAATATGCGTAATCAGTTTAGATGAAACTTTGTTTTTTTATCGCTGTCAAGGATGCTGTGACATTTCGAAAAATAAATAAACTACCAAAAAAGAGTCAAGATTACTTAACTAAAATCAAACATCACAGTTTAGCCTTATAATTACGATTTTACAAAAAATTGCCTATACCTAAATCCTTAATAAATAGGGGGTATAACATCTTAATATATCAAAATCCATTATTCTATAAATATACTTCTATGATTAACCCAAGACAATAATAACAATAAAGTAGCCCTTGAAACAAAAAAAACACCTTATTAAATGTTATATATTTATTTATTTTAGATTTTAAAGAATAAAATAGGTGATAATAAAAATGTATATAACAAATAGAAACTACCCAGGAATATACAAACTAAACTGTAAATACATATAATATGTAGGTAGATCAAATTGTGAATTAAAATTAAGTTATAAAAGCACATTGCAGATATTTTTTAAATAACCTGAGAATTCCCAAAAATTTTAAAACTAGTTGTTACGTTCAACAAACATCACCTATTATAACAATGTATTTGACATTCTGAGTTTTAATAATAATTGGCAAAAGTTTTATTTGTTGTAAACAATAAAGCATTACATTATAAATATTTTTAATGATTTCAGTTTAAAAGTTCCTGTCGATATATTTTTCTAAGGGGAGTATGACCATGGCAGGAATCGCAAAAATCTCTATAACAGAACAAACCAAACGCGAAGTTGAAGAAATTGAAAAAAAAATGGAAGAAATTTGTTCCAATCGTCCTGCTAATTTTCAATGGTCTCTAAGCGATTTTGAAATAGGAACACCTTTAAGTCGAGGAAAATTTGGCCGTGTTTATCTTGCACGTGAAAAAAATACTAAGTACATGGTCGCTTTGAAAATGATGTTTAAATCAGAACTAGTTAAAGACCATATGGAACACCAAGTCAGACGCGAGATTGAAATTCAAACTCATTTAAACCATCCCAACATTCTCAAAATGCTAACGTATTTTTGGGATGAAAAAAAGATTTTCTTAATTCTGGAGTTTGCTCAGGAAGGTGAACTGTTTAAGGTGTTGCAAGCACAACCGAACAAGCGATTTGATGAACCAAGAGCAGCATACTATTTACGTCAAGTTGCTGACGCATTAAAATACTGTCATTTACAAAGTGTCATCCATAGGGATATCAAACCTGAAAATCTATTGTTGTTCAGCCATCATGTAGTAAAGCTGGCAGATTTTGGATGGTCTGTCCACGCTCCGTCCAAGAGTCGTAATACCATGTGCGGTACCATTGACTATTTACCTCCAGAAATGGTAGACTCGGAAACGTATAATGAATACGTAGACAATTGGTGTTTAGGAGTATTATGTTATGAGTTTTTATGTGGATGCCCCCCTTTTGAGAGTAAAGAACAGGCTGAAACATTTAGAAAAATTCGTGCCGTATCGTACGGTTTTAAACCTCATATGAGTGAGATTTCCAGAAAGCTCATTTCAAAACTTTTAGTCAAAATACCGAATAATCGATTATCTCTTGATAGTTTCATGAAGCATCCTTGGATATTGGACAACTGTGAAACGTTCATTACGACAACCCATACAACAGTATAACTAAAATATTGATGTCAAAACTAAAAAATATTGTCTTTAAAAATGTACTTGTTATTTATTGGATTTTTATTAAGTATTATGTGTTATGTATATGGGCTAGAAATGTAGTTTTACAATATTTTTTTAATGATTATTCAATGTGATTTTATATAAACATTTTGTACACACTTATTTAAAAATATTTTTTATGCTATACTTATATTTTAAAAATTTTAATTTACAAATTAAAAATGTACAAAAAATGTCATGAATTTATTTACTTTCGCGTTACACCATTTGGTAATTATTATTAAGTATAAAATGGCTATTTTAATATTGTGCTAAAATTCTTTTGTTATGTATTAGTTAATTGTCATTAAAAATAAACTATAAGCTATAACCGATTTTCATAGTTTATTACAGGATTTTATATTGACCAAATATTATTATTAACCAAATAAGTATATAGTGGATTTTTAGGTTTTTTAATTTATTTGTTGACTTCGTACAGCTCAGCAAAAAAATGTGGTCGATTTTTCGGTGACAGATATCATAGGAAAAAAGTGGATTTTGTATATTAGAGCATATTTTACATAAATTATAATATATTGCATAACTTTGTAAGAAATTATGTTTTTTTGTTAAATACCTATGTATCAATTTTAAGAGAAATATTTTAAAAGTTGCTAAATATCAATTTACATACGTAGAAATCATTAACATAGAAATAGCGAGCAATTATAATAATAACATTATACTTTAATTTAACATAATGTTTGTTGTATTTATTAAAAATATTTTAGTTTTGAGAGAGATCAATTACAATTGAACATTGTGTTAGTATCTATATCTTTCAGGAATAAAATGTTTTTTTAATATGAATGCATTACCAATGAATCCATTACAGGAATAATATGCAACTAAAATGTTTTTCTTTTTCAAAATTGTGCTCTATTTTGTCGTTTTAATTGAATAATTGAACATTTGATATTTTTTTGGTACAGTTATTTGTTGATAAGGAATGGGTTTTTGGGATTTCACAATATTTAATTAACGTTATGCAGCTCTACGAGCGTGAAAAATGTATTGATCAAAAAATACGCCGAATAAATAATTCTTTATCATTTTAGAGCATATTTTGGAGATTATTTTCAAGTTTGATCATATTTTACTGGATTTATTGGAATATTAAGATTTTATTAGTGCATATAACTTATTAGCATTATATTTTAAACTTTTTAAAACTAAAATATCCTCTCTCTTAGTTAGTAATATAACGGGTCTTAAATTATTTATTCACAAAAAAAAATATAGGTAAGTCAGCGATGTGTGATAACCGGAATATGGCTGCCGGTGTTCTCAGGTGGACATGTGTTTTTTACGGTTAAACGTTAGCAGCCATGTTGTGAAAATTGATGACACACACCTTATTTATTTGCATCAGTATACCACATTTCCCGCCCGGCGCCTCGTGGTAGTATTGATAACAAGGATCGTTTGGTCATTGATAATAACTGCGCACATTGGTTTCAGAGTTCAGACTAAGTTCATACTTCATTGAATATTTTGTTTTTAAAATTTCAGTTCATTCTACATTTGAGAAAATAAATATTTTTGTATATATTATTCCAAGTTGGTAGCCATATAGTGAGTGACAATACGAATAATAATCGAGATGGACTGCGAAAGTTCATCAACAACTGAAGAGAAACCCACTGTAAAGCTGGATGCAAGCATGAATTCTCCGGTTTGTCTCATAGTTTTGGGCATGGCAGGATCGGGAAAAACGACGTTCGTAACAAAATTAGATTCGTATTTGCGACAGTACAAAAGAGCTCCGTATTTGATCAACATTGATCCGGCATGTAGAAATATGCCTTACAAACCCAATATAGGTAATAATTTTTTATACTATATTATTATGCACTAGTCCTTTTAATTGTTTTGTATATTATAGATATCAGAGATTCTGTAAAGTACAAGAATGTGATGAAACGCTATGGTTTGGGACCAAATGGCGCCATTGTCACTGCATTGAATTTGTACTCTACAAAATTCAATCAGTTGTTAGATTTACTCGGTAAAGTTAACGTGGAAAACACACATGATATAGCCGTTATCGATACTCCGGGACAAATCGAAGTGTTCACATGGTCAGCATCGGGACAAATTCTAACTGAGTGTTTAGCATCCACGTTTCCAACTGTTGTCGTTTATGTGATGGATCTCGAAAGAAGTGCTAGCCCTGTAACGTTTATGTCGAATATGTTGTATGCGTGTTCAGTATTATACAAAACAAAGTTACCATTTATAGTAGTCTTAAATAAGGTAATTTAATTTTTTTAACTTGATAGACAATACAGTAATAGCCACATGTTTTAGTCTGATATAGTCGATCCTACATGTGCTATAGAATGGATGAGAGATTTTGAAGTATTTTGTGATGCCGTCGAGCAAGAATCATCATATATGTCTAATTTAACGCGCACAATGGCATTAACGCTTGATGAGTTTTACAGTGAATTGAAGTGTGTACCAGTATCTTCAGTGACCGGGCATAATTTTGATGAATTCTTGAAAATGGTCGATTCAGCTTCAGAAGAATTTCAAAAGTATACTTTCTAGTTAAATTAATAAAATAGTATATGATAATTTAATTTGTATTGTAATATAATATTACATATATATTTTAGAGAATACCGTGTCGAATATGAAAAGGTGCGAAAAGATAAATTACAAGCAGAACTTTCTCAATTGAACTCAAAGCTCGACAGCTTAGCTGTCAGTAGTGGTGAAGGAGAAAATGTAGATCTCATAATGTCGTTGAGTGCTGGCCGAGAAATTTCAGATATTTATTTAGCGCCAATGGCTGATGAATTGTCCGGAGACAGTGAAGGTGAAGAAGTACCTGGTATAGATGCGAATGGTCAGTAGGTGTAACTATAAGAAAACAATTATTTTAATTTTATATTAGTAAATGAATTCTACTATCCAACTATACTACTTTATCGAAAGTAAAACTTCTTTTAACTTCAAAATATGTTTTTAAGATGTAAAAATAATTTTTAACATTTTATTTAAAACAATTTTTGTTTTCTACCATGTTATTCTCCTTTGGAATGTTTTTGGAACAAATAAAATCTTTTTGTACTGATTTTTTTATAATTATGTACATTTTGCCCTGGCCTTTGCTAAATTAATTAGCTTCAATTTATAATACAACTAATTGAATCCAGATAATAATAATACACTTTTTTTTTTTTTGGCAGACTAGCCAGCTAGTATTTATTTTGTTACGTAGGTTTATATTGAATTATCATTAATTTCAATTTTGCATTATTCATTTCCAGATTGATTCACACCAGCATAACAAGAAAATATCAATTTTTTTTTTCGCTTGTTTATACTCAATACATTTTTAAGTAAAGAATGTATTGCACATTTACATTGTATCACAATGTGTAATTTATTTAAACATTTACAAACCCATTGCATTGTATACATGTTTTATTTGTAATTAAACATAAACTAATGTACTATTTATAAATATTTTTATTTTTTGTGTATTTTATATGAATATATATATTCTAATAATATAACTAGTACTAGTTACTTATTGCAATAATTACCACAAATGTTTTGAAAATAACACGAAAGACAATTTGTTCTTAACAACCAACAAAACATAAACTCTCACCAATGTAACTTTTTTTAAATTTTTGTCAAAAAAAATAGGAAATCCAAAGAATATAAAATTATCATGGATGTATAATCTTAAATAAAGTAACTCTTTCTTTGTTCATCTGTTGATCTCTGAATAAATTCTAACCATGTCTTGCATAGTTGCTGGTAGTTTTGTAACTGGACATCTTGGTTCGATCATAAGCGATTTGTGTAAACATTTATAACAAAAAACAAAACTAAAAAAAAACACAACATACAATTTTATTATGAAATCACTGAATTAAATTTGTTAGTTACTCTATTACTTAAAAATAATTTATACTTAAGTATATATTCAATTTAGTTTTAAACTTAAGTAATAATATAATACCATTTAGTATGCTGTACAAAATATAATACAAATTGATTATAGAATCAAATTTTATATACTTTTTATTTTTAAGTACAACCAAATAATTGGTACATTCATAATATTTTCTATTATCAAACTCACCCTGAAACTGTTAACGCAGTTGGCATTTTTCTCTCGTTTATGCATAATGGACATTTGTTAGTGTTTTTGATGGAAATATGTTTATTGGTCGCCTTAAAAAATAATTGGTTTAAAATGAAAATACAATAAATAATAATAATATTAAGTAGTATTTTGAATAAGCGTAGCTGAAAGGTATTGTTTTACATTGATATATTTTTTGTTTATTTATATGAACCGTTTTTCGTGTACCTTTGGTTGTTCTGGAATAGGATATGCCATTAATTTTGACTGTAAATTTTCAGAATGCCACCAATTCAAAAACTGCATTAAAAATGCACCAAGTTCCAACGAATGGGTTAATCCATAATGTAAATAGTTTTTTACACATTCCACAGCACTGAAAATATGTAGACAAATAAATTGCATACGTTTAACAAGTATTCTTAGTAAATGCGTATTAATATGAAACCACGTTAGATGATAACATATAATTTATATTCTTTAGTATAATAATAACTTATTTATATTATATATACCTTAACTGTTGATCAAGTTGTTCTTGATTATTTGACACTACAACATTTTTATAAGTCAAAATCATTCCAGCGATATCTAATAATGGAGAATGTGTTTGACTCGTTCCATTTATATATTTTAAATAGTACACCAAACGCATTACTTCCCAAACGGTGTAGACACATTTATTAAGTATTATGATCAATTTCTGAAAGTAAATATAAAAAAAAATTTTAACGGTTTCATATATAACATAAATAATAACATTATATTTTAAAATAAACAGTGTTATAGACGTTAACTGATCTTATGCGAGTTAATTTTCCTTAAAAAGGTACTCTCATTAGTTTATAGATGGACTAGTAGAATACCCTTTTAACGGAGGGATTTGATCCAAGTTTTTGTGAACAGCACTGATTATGTGCTTATATTCTAAAAAATCTATAGTAATACATTAAACTGTGACTTTATATAAAATTTAAATGTTTCGTGTTTTTACGTAAATTTCATTGTACAAAATTATTCAATGCAATGGTGTAGATACGACACTGATATCGGCAGAGGTATACTTTTATTTAAGTCACCTCTTTTAGTTGAAGTTTATATTTTGTTTGCAGTTGCTCGACGTACGAATCAAATTTATTACGCACATAAGGCACAAAAACTACTAATGCTAGATTAATATAAATCTGATTGTCTGGTGGTTTTAAATTTTTTGGTCCTGGTATTCTGGTCAAATCATAAAAATTTTCTGAGAATGTTCCACCTTAAAGTTAACAAACAACACGATTAATAAATACTTGTGAACATAGTAATAAAGCAGTAATGTTTTTTACCATATTTCTTCAAATATTTATATTGGCATATAGTATTGCACACTAGAAAAACTTCATCAAAATAACAAATCAACCAATTTAGTTTTTCAGGGTTCTTTTGGGAAATGAACTAGAATACAAAACAATAAAAAAAATTAATATAATCGCTTAACTAAAATAGTAGTTAAATTAATTAAAATTTCCCTAAAATTGTTCGAGTTGTTTTTTTAAGTTGAAAAATATGCCATTTTTTAGGGGTTTTGGTCATTCTCAAATGGAAAGGGATGTACAACTTAAAATTTTGGCTTTAAAGATTACCTCAAGTTAACGATTATACAAATTAAAGACAATATGTAAATGAAACTGAAGAGCTTAAAAAGTAATTGCGGGTCTAATTAAAAAAAAAATTATAATAATATTCAAATTTATTATTTTATCGATAAATATTTATATTGAAAATCTAATTTTTAATCAGCTCTACATTAAAGCATTATGAAGTATAGACTGGTTCTTCTATAACTGAATGTAAAACTATCATACCATTTCACGGGCATCCATGAAACATTTTTATAAAATAGTTAATAAATTACTTAACTATTTACAAATAACTTACATTAGCTACAATCTTTAACGCTGGGTAGCTTGTAGCAGATAAGTTTTCTTGGGCAATAACTTCGAATATCGAAGGGCGAGTGACTACAGTTGTTGTATGGTGAGCCGCTTTTTCCGCCATTTGTTAACATAAAATTATGTTTAAAGTATAAACGGAAATGCATTAAATTTTATCACAATGTCTTTCAACAACCTCGAATCAAAGTTTACCTTTGTGCTTTTTTCCATATACATAAATGTTTTGTCTATAAATTAATTTCGCAAGTAACTTGAACATATAATATCTATTAGTAATTTATTAAATTATATAATTGAACTAATGTAGTATTACAAATAAATAATAACTTTTAATATTTCAATTATATACCTATATAAATTTATTATTTAAAATTTATGTTGAGCTCACGGAAAATACATTACATTGATAACGATTCAAATTAACTGATAAAGGATGCTACATGTGGCTTTGATAATAACATAGACATATAATACGGGGGGCACGATGTAGAGAAGATAAGGTGACGCCACTCCAACCAAATCAGTGGGTCAAGAAATTACGGCATTTTAGTAGTACAATTTTGTCACGTAGATAGCGCCACCATTCGCCCGACTTTTACATTGGACTAATGGGGTTTTTTACATTTTATTATACGTTACTGTCATTTTTATTGCTAAATAAAAATATATAACATGTAATTTAATTTTAATACAGGACAATAGATTATATATTATTTAAAAAACCACAATATTCGTATATGTAGTCTAATTATTAAATGTATTATTTATTCTAAATCCTATTCCACAAAAGACTAATAATATCGCTACTTTGTATTACCACAGATTATATATTTCATATAATCTGTGGTATTACCCACGTTCGAGTTTATGAATCGAATGCGCAGAAATGGCGATAGCTTTTCTCCGTCTGTGATTGGCTATAAACTATATCTTATCAGGAAATTATATGCCCGCCAAAACTTTAGTTTGTAAATGATGTATATAATAATTAAAAACTAATAATAATTGACTATTAAGACTGTATAAAGAGTATTAGTCAAGACGGATTAGCTAATAGTAGAACACCATATTTTATATGAAATTTCCTTATCTATATCATTCTTTTCAGTTAGTACTAACCCTAAGTATATTAACTGCTTGGCTCTGCTGAAAATGATGCAAAAAAGACTTCCTTCAATTACTTGTAAAAGCCTTTTCCTGCAACCAACATAGTTTAAATCATCCTTATCCTAAGGAAATGAATACAGTAGGAAAAATCTATTTTGTCATGATACATACTACATTTTCGTTTGGATACCTACTTATTTTCATTACTTAAATTGTTTTAATGTAGCAACTAGCATATAAAATACTGCGCAACAACTTAATGAGACCAAAAGTCAAAACAATACGTTTTATAAGATATATAGTAATAATTAATGAAACAATAGAATTGCTGATAAAAACATTCCACTTTATTATTAACTATATAGGTAGGTACGTATATTATACCAAATTAACTTAGAATATTTAAAGAACTATAGATAAAAAGTATAATAAGTTGGTTTATTATACACAATTTTAATAATTTTCATTCCCACATAACTACAAAAATACAATATAATTTTATACGATTTCCCATATAAATTACAAAACCTATTCATTTCCAACGTCTAAAAATTTGTGTTTAATATTTATATAATTATATTTGTATGCCCCATAAATAAATACATTTACAAAAGGAAATCGTTTTATATGGTATAAACAACAATTAATAACACTCAACTCTCAAGAAATTGAGTAAGTCATTAAGTGCAGTATTAAAAACTGATTAAATCCGTTCAACCTTGTTGACGTACTAAACTTAATTTATTAAAATATAAAACAATTGCAACATTTTTTAAATGTGTGACTTACAAAAATAAATCATTATTTTTTCCTATATTTTCACTACTTTGTTCATTAAAAAATAGTTTTAGTAATAAAAATAGGAATTTAAACACAACAGCTTTTGTTCACTATTAAATTCTGTCATTTTTTGATAATTATATGGAAATCAAGTGCATTTGCAGTATGTAGAAGATCCTTAAAAAACGTATCAATTGTCAAAATATTAATAATTTGTTGTTTAATAATTAAATATGTTTTTTACTAGATTCTTTTTAATAACTCTCCTTGATAATCTGCAACTGTGTATTGTCTATGAATAATGGGTAAAACAAAGAAGATAATATGTAACCGTTACATTAGGTTGGATACAAATAATAACTACCGAGAAGACGATGCTCCAATAGGTGTTCAATAAACGTTAGCAAATAGCAAATAGCAAGTATGTTAAATAATAAATAAAATAAAATATTTTGTTTTATAGTAAGTTATAAGTTAAAAATTAAAAACCCGCGAAAAAAAAAATTCCAAAGAGTATTTGTTTATCAATTGTTGTTAATATTTATTATAGAAAAATTGAACTTACAAGTTAGGCGGCAAAACCAAAAATAAGAACTAAAAAAATAATAATATAATACCTAATTAATATTATTTACAGCGGTAACAAAAAATTTTCAATTATGTAGTCTAAAAAAAATGAATACCGGTCTTATCAATATTGCGTTATCACTCTTTACGACAATAATTATTAATTATTAATTACTGTACTTTCTTCCTTAAATCATTACAAGGAAAATTGAGTATATTATATTTAAATAACTGCATAATTAATTACGTACACTAGTTTACTAGTATAATACTGGGTATTGACTATTGTTCGAGGTAAGTGCATTTTGAAAACTAGATGATCGGCTTGAATATTAAAATTATAATTTTTGTGTGACCGTCCGAAAAATTAAATAAATAAATTAATATTGTAAAATTATTACAAGACAGTAGTTTCAACTAATTATTAAAGCCCGGAAGTCGATGCATTTGCATTTTTTTAACCAGTGCTTCATAAAATAGTTAGTTACGCAACAAAATTAAAGAATCCAAATTGAAAATTTAATTTTTTTGCTTTAATTTTTACTTATATACGTTATAAATGATTTATTATAACTGCATATTTACCATTTTGTTTTTAGTAGAAAGCAAGGAAAAGTACCAATGAAATATTAACAAACGGAACATTTGTCACAAACGAAGATAAATAATTATAACTACAAAAAATAAATATATTACATTTGTTTTAACTTATAATATAATATAATGTATGCAAATTAATATTAAACGATCTCTTTCATCGGTTCAAGGTTATACCTTAACTGTAATGTAACATTTTTAAATTACCGCTAAATAAATAATAATAATTATTATTAGGTATATAAAAAAAAAAAAGATTCAAACACATATTTAGGTAATTTTTTAGCTCATTAATGCATGCATATTTTTATTTGGTTTTAAGTGCATACAATTACAGGCCATACTCATTATCACATGTCCTACTTAGATGAATTGTTTTCTCACAGTTAATTTATTATTAAGTTATTCCAATTAAATGTTGAGGTCTCTATAATTCATTACAGTAAAAATATATAGTGATACTTAATGTGCTTGTTCATAAAGTATATGAACTAAACAATTATTAAAACTAGAGTGGGGTAATTTATATTGGCAGACCAGTCAAGCTACTCAATTGGAAGTAACCGCTAGTTGTGTTAAATATAGAGTAAATACTTCATGATTATTTTATATTTTAATTGTGACCATTTGTCATTTGTCTTTTACAGAACATTATCGGTTATTGTATTGTTGCGGTTTGTTATTCGATAACAGAGAATAGTGTTGTTAAAAAATGGCTAACGATACAGAAGATATTGACGGAAACAATATTTTAGCACAGTCGTTAAAATCTCAGGTAACAAATATTAATAAAACTTGTCGGTAATACTTGCTTTAGTTATTTTTTCAATTAATCTATTATAAATGTACATACAGGGAGTAGAATTTGTTTTTGGAATTGTCGGCATTCCAGTTATAGAGCTCAGTGTAGCTATGCAACAAGCTGGTCTTAAATATGTTGGCATGCGAAACGAACAAGCAGCCATTTACGCTGCTCAAGCTATTGGTTATTTGACACGTACACCGGGCGTATGCCTTGTGGTTTCTGGCCCGGGATTACTGAACGTTGTTGCCGGTATGGCTAATTCTCAGATAAATTGTTGGTTAGTTGATATAAAGGTAAAAAAAAAAAAAAAATGAGAACCCCAATTAAATATATTACTATAATTATTTCCAATTCAGGCCTGTGTTAGTCATCGGTGGTTCGTGTGCCGAAGATCATGAAGGTATAGGCGGTTTCCAAGAATGCAATCAAGTGGAATTGAGTAGACCCTACTGCAAATACAGCGCAAGACCTCCAAACGCAAATCTCATACCGGTACACGTTGAAAAAGCTATACGATATGTTACGTATGGTAGACCGGGTAACTAACCGATTCGTAAAAAATTATAATCAATTTTTATATTGCTTTAACCAAATCTGTTATTACTCGTAGGAGCTGCGTATTTGGATTTTCCAGCGAATTTATTATCAGCACGAGTGTCCATAGATATGGTGCAGTATAAACCAGTAATATGTAGTCCGCCAACGGTTTTTCCTGATATCCGTGATATTCAATCGGCCGCCGATCTCATAAAAAATGCAAATCGCCCACTTATCATCGTTGGTAAAGGTGTGCAATAATTTTTATTTTATTAAATTTTCAAAACATAAAGGGTTTACTGTATAATTGTAACGTGAAAAATTAGCTAAAAACAAACCAAAATTGGAATGCTCAGTTTGGAAATCATTGAAAAAACTAATGCTGCCCCCTGAAGTTTTTTTCATATAAATACATATTTTATTTTGTTTTTAAGACATTATATATATTTTTTTAAATTGTGTTTTAAGTTAGTTGCAGCTTTAAAAAATTCATATAAAATGTATAGTTAATACATTTTCAAAGGTTAATTAATTATTTATATGTATGTTTAGGAGCTGCTTATAATCGTGCAGAGGATGCGGTTAATAATTTTGTTGCACAAACCGGCTTACCGTTTTTGGCCACTCCGATGGGTAAAGGTGTAGTAGCCGATGAACATCCATTGTGTGCCGCATCGGCTCGTACATTCGTTCTTCAAAACGCAGACGTCATTGTTTTGCTCGGTGCCAGGTTGAACTGGATTCTCCACTTTGGTAAATCTCCCAGGTTTAATCCACAAGTGAAATTTATACAAGTTGACATTAAACCGGAAGAATTGCATAACAGTCAGCAAGCTAGTGTCGCTATACAAGCTGATATTCACACCGCAGTGGATGCCTTGACTTTACAGTTGAACAAACAAAAGTGGCGTTGTTCCAAAAACGAATGGTTAACACAAATTCAAGATAAATGTTCAGTGAATAAAAAATATACAGAGGTTAACTTTTCTTTTTTTTTTTTTAATTTTTGTTCTTTATTATTGTCAAAATTAGTACATTAATTTTTCATTTTTTTTTTTATTAGTCAATGATGATGGATACCTCAGTGCCGTTAAATTACTTTACGGTATTTCGTCAAATTCAGGATAACATTCCAAAAGGTAATGAAATAAAAATAAAAATAGTGAAATTTAAGATGTATTTGTTGACATTAATCACAATCGAAATTTTCAGATTGCATAATTTGTAGCGAAGGTGCAAATACAATGGATATCGGAAGAACAATACTACTAAACAATTTGCCTAGACACAGGCTTGATGCTGGTAATATTGATGTGAAATCTTCTGATAAATAATAATCTCACAAAGACTGATGTAAAACAAACATACACACTTGGAGTTTTGGATCTGAAATTGAATCAGGGGAAAACTATAATACTTTAGGTGTACTTATACATTTTGACTTCGGTCACTTGGGTAGTTATTGCCAAACATATATAACTGATCATTTAATAGTTTATAGTAGTTGCTTTTCAAAATATGTTAGCAGTCATTATTTCTTGCATAATTAAGTACCTATTTTAAGTACATAAAATGCAATTTAAACTATTAAACTAAAATTCTTAGCACTTAAAAACAAGTGTAATGCAAAAACTGTTATCAGTAGACAATAATCAACAAACAAAAAAAGATGCGTTAGATATTTTTTTTATTTGAACAAAAAACAGTTTTGCAACATTAGCGGAAGCTCTTGCCTTATACTTATAGAGGACGTCATACCCTTTAAAAATAATTGTAAAACGTGTTTATGGAAAAGCGTGTAGGTCAGAGCGATGCTGTGATAGTCCGAAAAAAAGATTAAGTCCAAAAAAAAGAGTACACATTTCTTAACTAATAATTACACATCTTAGTTAAACCTTCAAATTAAGATAATACTATATTGATAAGAAATATATACATAAATGTATAATGTAATTATAAAATTTAATTAATCCGGCAATCCTAGTTGTCGAATGGGTGGAAATGTCGTGTGGGTATTTCGAGTTTTGAGGGTCTTATAATTTCACCCTACTGTAAATATTATACATAAAATCAAATTGAATCATTAACTAGTATTTTGTTGGTTTTAAGGCACATTTGGAACTATGGGAGTTGGCTTAGGATTTTCCATCGCGGCGGCTTTATGGTGCCAACAATACGAACCACAAAAACGGGTATTATGTGTCGAAGGAGATTCAGCTTTTGGATTTTCCGGAATGGAAGTTGAAACAATGGTCAGGTTAGTTTTACAATTATTGTGATATATTATGTATTACATTCATCACCATATAATCATTACATGCAAGATTTTAATGATGATGTTGCACAGACGTCTTACGAGAATTTTATTTAATTCAACAGGGGACGACATTTGAAAATACATAATGCCATATGTGTATTTAATATGAGCGCTTATGTCTTCTAACTAAACAATTTTAATCTATAGCTTGAAATTTTTGTATACCGTGTGTAGGTGGCTATTCCACGGTGTTGGCAAAATTTTAATCAAGTTATAAAAAATACAGAATGTTTTATTTATAAATAAACTCCTCCTTTTATTTTTTTTTACCATTCTTACTGCTTTCGATTCCTCTCTCATCATAACATGCCCAAACCATCTCAGTCTATTTTCTCTCATTTTGTCCACAATGGAGAAGCCACACCTATGCTACATTTTACGTACCTTCTCACTCAGCCACCTAAGCATTCTTATCTCGGCCACACTCATTCTCTGTTCTATTTGGTTGTCTACCGCCCAACACTCCAAACCATACAACATAATTCGGTCCCACCATAATCTTGTAGAACTTTCCATTAAGTCTCATTGGAACTGCCTTATCACAAAAACATCTGACATGTCCCTCCACTTGATCCAACCGCATTTAATCCTATGTTTTACCATCCTCATCAAAACCACAGTTCTTTATAATAAAAAAGATTCAAAATACTTAAAAAACTTTCAAAATTAAATTTTATAATATTAAAAACAAAAACATCTTTTTATCAACATTAAATATATGATTTTTCCAGGTATAAATTACCAATCGTCATAGTCGTTGTTAACAACAATGGAATTTATGGAGGTGTCGACGAAGAGCTTTGGACCGCTATACAAGACTCTGACTCCTTATCAAATACGTAAAAAACTCACTTCTACCTTGAAATAAAATTATTTTCTATAGATTAAAGTAATAATAATATTATTAATTAATATTTTTTAGGACTCCGCCAAATTGTCTCTCTGTGAACATTCACTATGAAAAAATAATGGAAATGTTTGGACGCAAAGGTTATTTTTGCACAACAGTCGATCAAGTGTCGAGTGCTATTAAAAACGCATTTAAGGTAATATATATAATTTTTATCATTGACCAATCGATAATATTTAAGCTAATAGTAAAAAATAGTGAATTTTATTTTGTTTTCTGTGCTTTGTATTAATTGTTTTTCAATGTTTCTGACTTTATGTTTGTTCATTAAGGACACGAATGGACCGTCGTTTATAAATATCATGATCAACCCGTCGGCAGACAGAAAACCTCAAAACTTTGCCTGGTTAACCGAATCAAAACTGTGATAGAATCAAACCGTAATTATTGGACTGAAAGTAATGCATAATATTTATAGGCTCACATCAAATTATCAAATATGGTATTTAGGTTTAGACACGGTAAACTAAATAATATTATTGTTTTTGGTGTAATAATTTTGGGTCAAACCCAAAATAAAGTTTATCTGTTTTATTTTTATTAAAAAGAGGAATTAAATATATATATATGTGGGTTTATTTTAAATGTTGGCTTTTATTATGTATACTCATTAGTTATAAGATATTTTTATTGAAATTAATTTTGTATTTTTCAAATATATTTTAACTATTGTCTTTTAATAGTCTTTTAGCAGATTAAAACGTGAGATTTTGTTTTGAGCGCAAACAGCGCTTATGATAAGCGTTTATAAAGTACTTAATTCTACATACCGTATTATTAAAAAATGTTTCTTGCTTAAAATCATTTCAAGTTTTTCATCGTAAATTAAATTGACCAAAATAGTTATGAAAAATACAGCGAAACGTTTGAACATTGCTTTGACTGTTAGGATTGCTTCGTTTCCAATCCTTTTATTATTGATAATATTCTATTGATGTTAATCAATATATTAAAAAAAAAAAAACTTAATCTACATAATATATAAGTATAGTCAAATTATATAATAACTGTGTATACAGGTCAAAGATCTAATCCAAATGCTAAAATGGTTTACATTAATTCTTCGAACTCACAATTACATATATATATATATATAAAATAAATATTATGATTGTTTCGAATATAATAGCTGGACAATAAAAGAAATAATTTGATTGAGATTATAACAAATCAATTTACATATTCAAATGTATTCCACGACAACCAAACAAATTAAAAAAATCAAAGACATTTTTAAACAATAATGTAAGTACATAGTATAATTTATTTACGAGTTTAAAATATTTTACACTATAAGACGTTTTATCCATTGAAGATATTCTACAATTTATTTTGGCAAACGACATTTTATAGCCTTTTAAATAGCCTTTAGAAACTCTTATTATAAATTTAGAAATTTTATTTGAGACTTTAAAAAAAATAGAAACTATTTCATTTTAGTTTTTACTTTACCTAACCTATCCCTATTACTATTATAATCTATGGGTCTTTGGACTTAGGTCTCGGTAGTTTTGGAGAAATTAATCAGTTTTGACTTGAACGTTTTTCTAGTGGATGTTTTTTAAAGATTTTTTTTTTCAAACAGCTTTTATAGCAGGGTAAATCTCAAGACTGCACATGTAGGTAAGTCAATGAGTGTTGTGACCTCGTAACACGGGATCAAGGTGCGCCTAGCACTATGAGGTCCATTGTGTGTGTCTTTGCGGTTATCTTGATAATATTCAACAAAACCTACTGTTGTTTGTCTGAGTTGAATATAATAATAAAGAAAATGGGATACAGGTGGACACTATTCTTGCATCATACTATGGGCATAATAATTAAATAGTACAAGACATGATTATCATTAAGAAAAAAATATGCCTAATTACGTTGCTGTGAAAATACCATTTTACCAGAGAGAACGATTTGCTGTTATGTTAATATGTTCGTTTGCTACTAGTTTCGAATGAAACAATCGTTTAAATAATATATTTTTAATTTTGTCAGTTCCTGCTATTCTGCAGCAGAAAAGAAAACCATTTAATATCGGTAGTAAAGTGGACTTTTCTTATTTAAATCACCCCCTTAACGGTTGAAACCCCCCAAAACATATTATTATTGAAATATTAGTAAAGAAATGTGCATATAAAATATACTTTCTTGGCGGATACATTATAGCAGATAGATGTGACCTCATGTGACATTTACCCATTAGAAAACTCTGTAAATTATGTTTTTGGTTTTAAGTTTAATCATTATCGTTATAGTTTATTTAATAATTATCGTCAAATCGATTAATGAGACTATAATAATAATTATTTATATTATCCTTATCGGCGCACTAATTATTATTATTGTATTATTATTTATGAAAGCCATTTCGTCAACAACAACCAACATGCACGTTCTCATAGCTTATAACTTGTAATGTACTTATATCTAAACAATTTGGTATAGTTGCATATCAAAATCATGTAGAAAATGAACGTTAACGTAGAAAATATAAAATAAATTTCAAAATATTTTATTGGCTATCGTTAAGCCTATATAAACGACAAAAAAGGTAACTATAGGCATTGATTTTGTACAACGATGACTTCATTATGATTTGTTGTTGTTGTTATTATTTTTTTTTTACCCAAAAACATTAAAACTAAAATATCTAATTTCTTACCTATGTTTTAGAGTGTGGCAGTCGGCCGTAACATTACTACCTACTTTAATTGTACAGAATGAGAAGAGATTTTCGTATTCGAATTGTGTGAAGGCCAAACTAAGTGGTCCCAGTGTTGGTTGTATTCAATTTGATTATTTTAATTTTCTAATTACAACTGGTGTGTTCTTGGAACTTTGGTGATTTACGAATTGGTTTGTTAAATTAATATAATAGCTCGATTGGTTTTATGCTTGTTACTGTTGGTAGCTAATGTCAAATAATAACAACCAAAATTATTTCAAATAAAACATTGCACATATTGTGTCGGTTAAAAAAAAAACAAGACAAATATATGTATTTTAAAAAAATAACAGTCTGATGGCTTAAAAAAAAATTGTTAGACCTTTGCTATACTAAAAATGGACCTATATTAATAATGATTATTTGTTGATATTATTAAAATACTAAACTTGAAAGTTGGAATTATTTATGAGAAGAGGCTGTAAGGAGATCCAAGAAGCCACCGAAAAATATACCAATTAAAAACATACCATCAACCAGATAAAAGAAAAAATGATAGTAGGCCCACTGAAGAAATGTAAATGTAAATTAAAACCATCACACAATGGTATACCCTGGAATTTGCCAAGGTGGTCTAAAGAAATGAAAAAGTGTGGAGCAAAAAACGAGCACAGTCCAAACCAACCAAGTAGGTACAGAATAAATCACAGCACAGGAGAAGTTAGCAAAGTTGGATCCAGCTTCTACAGATTCGCATCAAAGGGGTTTCTTGAATTTTGTACCTACTGATTAACTATTTAATTTAATTACTTGGTTTTTTGATTTTATTAGCCATATTACACTTACAGCTTTGGTCTTATGACTAAAATAATTGCGAGGGAATCTGTTGTCTTGTTGCATTCAAATTTTGTTTGTACTTCTGAACCAGATTGTCTCTTAGGCGATTCCATTACATTTTATTAACCCCTTAGTGTGCCGCTTTAGACTGATATTGATTTGTTTTTTTAAATTTAGTATAATTAAGTTTAATTAAAAATTTACTAATAATATCCATGGCTAGCACCGGTATAACCAAAATCCTAACCCCCCCCCCCCCAAAAAAATGGGTCAAAAGTTAAAACCGAAACCCCATAGATATGAAGTTGTAATTGTATTCAATATATTATATAAAGGAGTAATTATGACGTTTAATTTTTCCCACTTGGTTCATCTATAGATCTAACAAGTCATCTATTTTATGACTTTATTTTTTAGTCAAATTAGTTTATTTGCTACTTTCGTTAATTTTTTGTCTCTTATTTGCTCAACGTAGTATATACTTTAATTTAAAACTACAATTTTTTATATTTAAAATTGAATAACTGAATTTTTCCACATCTGGGAACATAGGAATGAACCTCAGCGTACCTTTCAGCTGTCAAATCCTAGGAATTAAAAAATAAAACAAAACATTTAACTCGCTCGGTGGAGGGAGTGGACGAATATTAAAGAAATGTGTGTTAAAATCAATATCTCAATTTATAAGTCGAGGCATGCCTAATAAAGATTCTTTACAAATTTCTAATTGATCCTGCCGTTTTTCGCTTAAGTAAATTTTGAGTCTATTGTTTTTTTATTGTTACCTTGTCTGGAATAATAATAACATTTTTTTTACGAATACTTAAGAAGGCTAATCCAATAATTGAGTCTGTTGTCAAACGTCCCAGCTGTTTATATAATGTCAGCATATCTCTGACAGCAAAAGCTACATATTTTGTCCTACACGTTTGGGTTTAATTTTATCGCCAAACAAGTGGGACTATAAATGTTAAAATTATACATTACCTACACAATTTTATAAACTAGATATTCGAGTTTAACTTACCTATAAACGTAGGTACCGAGTCTAGGACTAATTTGTATCTAAGCATCACCAAGTGCAATCAAATAATAAAAAGCCACATTAAAATCATCATAAATAAGAAACGTAACTTCTTCGTTTTATTGGGAAAAAATTATTTAAATTTGTTGTTGTTGTTACCTATGTAAAAAGTAGTACATACTACTATAACAATATTAATAGGAGGTGTTTGAAAATAAGTATTAAATCTGGACTATAAAATTATCAAATAAATAATAGTTATGTTTAGAAACCAATCAACAATTTATAAAACAAGTAATTCGAAAATAATTGTTTAATTGACTTTTTCATAGAAAAGTTACTTAAATTGGTCGAATAATTGATTCTAAATAAATTAAATAAAAATGTGAACGAATAAATTTAAATAACTTTATGATACCATCACAAATTAAAATTGTTATATTTATTAAAATAATAATAGGTTTCGGGCATGGGCAGATTAAAGCTAATTTATAAAATTTAGTCTAATGAGAATATACTTAAAATAATTAAACGTCACTTAATGCATTTAAAAAAATTATATAATTTATAATAGGTACATAAAACAATGTAATGCCCATAATACACCTCCTAATGATAAAATATAATTTATTTTAATTGTGCGAAACAACTACAATTTGATTAATAATAATAATAATTAAAAAATTAAAATTATAGTCAACAATAAATCGTGATTACTACCATTATTTATGATGTTGACATTGCTTTCGCTATTATTCTACATTGTGTAATTATAATAAATGTATCATTACACAATACTATGAATTAAAAACAAAAACTGTTCAATTAAAACATATTACTTATGTTTGATTATCTTCATAATAATAATATATTATTTTTTCTTAATTTAATATTATAGGTACAGATAAATCGTCTCCGACATGTTCCAGCGGTCTGGTTTATAAATTAATTTAACAAGAAAGTCAGCACTACGGTTTGATCTCTTTAAAAGTATGTATGATTAATTTTTATATTATAATGCATGCATCTATTATTATATTAATGATCAATTTGTTCAAATAAACAGCTGTAAACGTTAGTTTTGAATCGCATTGGCGATACAATTATTGAATGAAATTTGAAAAACTAATACTCCAACTGGGTACAACCTACCAAGAGGAACGTTAACGTTATTGAGAATAAATAATAATAATAATAATAGATGCTCTAATCGACGTCATGAACTCGTTTCGCCGTATCCAAGTCCATTGACAATAATAATGTAGTAGATAGACCACGGTAAAATATTATAAAAACGTTCATTGCTGCCAATCCGGATGTGATATTACATTCTGCGGTTTTCATTGACGATCAAAGATGCCACAATCATTGGACAGATTGTGCCCGCAGAAGAGCAACGCCGAAACTAGGTTGGTATATTGTCGTTTGTCACCTTAAAATATGACCTCAA